TCCCCAAGCCTGTAGCGCTGCATGGGGTTGTTGTGACCTAAATGTAGGGCCCAACACTTGGCCTTGTTAAACCTCAACCCTGCCTCTCTTGGCAGGAATACTCAGTCAAGTACCCATACCCCCTTTTCCTTGGCAGGGAGGGGAGAGAAGTAGTAGGTGGGAGGATCCAGAGGACACTTGCCTAAACTCAGTACCTACAAAGGATAATACCAGTTACTTTTCCAGGCTGTTTTTACTTCATGCCGTTACAGTAATAAATTGACACTCCATACTAAAATTTTACTTCAGCATCCAATATCACAATATGATACAAAACTTTTCAAAATGTTGAAGGGATTTATTGCCATTTGGAACATGTTTATTGTTCAAAAACACTGCACTGAAAAATCCATCACATACATTCTTTGTTATCTATATCTTTATGTCAATGTAACTTTCAGGCAGGTCATGCAGGAAAACCACCCTCCCAATCAAGTCAAAACACTACTGAAAGGCACCTTGTGTCCTTCAGAACTTAGACTCCAAAGAAGTTAAGTTTTTGCCTGTATAAGGATTACATATATCTAGAACAATTCAAACAGTAGGGAAAAAAATAAATTTAGAACTTCTTAAAGAACAGTATCAGACTTCATTGCTTTCCTTCATTCAGTGCTATGGTTTTACTTTTCTGAGTCTTCTTTAAATAATGTGCGACTTAATGTGTGTTAATGAAGTCTCTTTACTGAGAGAAGGCATGCAGTAAGGGAAGAGGGAAAGCTGGTCACTTCCAGGCTGCCTGTCTACACATTTGTTCTTGTAGATTAGCAAGCCAATTTAACTGTTTAAGTTAAAAAAAAAAGAGACACAGAATAGGAATGAATGCACCCAAGTTAAATGGCTTTTAAGAATGTGTTAATACATAGAACAATGATACCACCTACAGTTCTGCTCACTGATATCTGTTCATGCTGATTTGAAAACAAGTTTTGTCAAACCATCATGGGCCACTTTCATAGACTATTAGATAAAAAAGTTGGTTTTCAAATATTGCTTGTTATTTGGATGACTAACTGTTTATTAAAAGGGTAATTAAAAACCTATAAGGCAGCAAGACTTTAAATGCAATGGTTTACATTGCTGAATAGTACTTATTAAAAAGGCAAGACAAAAAATTATTAGCAGGATTATTGGTGGGGTCATATTCATAATAGGTGTTTCTGTTTTATCCCCATTGTAATTGTCACAGCAACTGTAGATGGCAGGTCTTCCTTGGTTGTAATTCAGGATGAACACATTCCCTGGCTTATTTCAAGTTAGATATTTAGTTCTTTTTCTCCAGCCTGCCAAGAGAAGAACAGCTTTTGTAAGAGTGAATATTGAACTGCAATTGCTATAAAGAAATCTGAACTTACAGTAGAACTGTAAGAATGAAGGACACCTAGACAGTTATTTATGCAAAGGCAGGTCCACCTGCAGTTTTGCCAAGTCTCATGTTTTAATTTATAGTTCAGGAGGCTTCATCCTCTCATTGCTCCACGTGGATTTGTTGGGGCAGAAGAGAGAAAGCCATAATCCTGACTCATCAGGATTACCTGGGGCAGTGTCTGCACTACTTGCTACGTAATGAGGGTATGAGACTGCTTGCAGTCTGTTTCCCAATCACACTCAGCTGGATCTATCACATACATAGAACAGTCAGCTTAGAGAAGTCTTGCTTGATTTCTCTTTCAGACGTACAACCCCTTCATTTTAAGGTTGTTTCCATCTCAGAAATTAGTTACTGAGATTGACACACGTGGACTAATCAACATAATACATAAGATAAAACCTCAAAATAGCCAGCAGCTGCTGAAAGCCCCATCTACATCCATGACCATAAGGGCTTTCAGCCTTTTCTGTGTGCAGCCCTCAGAAGCAAAGGAGGTGCAAGGCAACAAGTCACAGTTCAGCCTACTGGCAACAAGCTTGTTAATAGGTTTGCAAAAGGTAATGAAGTTAAACAAGTACAGAAACTATGCTGGGGTTTGCATCACAGCTAAAAGCCACTAACAGAGTATTCCAAGTGCCATCAGTTTATGACTTTCCCTTTCTGAAGTGTGACTTGCCTGTATTTGATCAGTCGTCCTCCTTGAATAAGTTGTGCAACTTCATTAGTCAAGTGGCATGCAAAAAGAAGCCAGTTCCTTGGCTGCACTTTGTAGGCAAATCTCATGAAAGTCAAGGAGTAACAACACAGTGCTGCAAAACATGATAGATATTGTTAGTAGATTTAATATCTGCATTTTGTTGAGGCTTGATTTTCATACTAGCAGAATGTGATGACAAGTAGAACGCTCACTGCTTTTGAGTTTTCCAATAATCCTACAAATTTGTCCACTTTGAGGATCCAATGCAGGAAAAACATGGAACAATGCTAATTTTTGCTACACCAGAAAATCTAGAGCTGCAGCTTTCCACAAAAACTCATTTTCCTCATACAGTTTCCTGTGATGCAACTGAAGCCTTTTTAATTTATTGCCTAAACTATCTCAGCCAGAGAATAAGAGTTAATCCCAATGAGACATGGCCTGTCCTATGCAATTATTCTGACAATTTCTAGGACAGTATTTTTAAGAATACTAATTACTTCAATACAGTTCTTACTGGGAACATTCTAAAATGGACTTTAAGAGAAGGAGGTTTCCATCCCCAAGAAACCATGAACGTTCAGAAGCATAAAGCTTTGTTACCTGCTTTCCAGGAAGACGAGAAACTACTGCCATAAGTGCATGTAAATACAGGAAGTTACAACCCAAGAAGGCACTAGCTTTACAAAGTTAAATTTTTAGCTTTCTGACAGGCTTAAGGAAAGAAAAAAAAAATCAGGAAATTGATTGTTCAAGAAAACAGGCTTTTTTTTTTTTAGGTACAGAACCTAGAGGACGGGAAAAAAATTATCATATATATACTTACAAAAATTTAAAAAGTGTCTTAGCTTTGCTGAGCTGGGTATCTGCCACCAAAGCACTATTTGCAAAACAGTTTCACTATACCAGAGATTATTCAAACTGGTTTTCCATCTCTAGGAAGCTGATGAAAAGACTGAATTACTCTAAGCAGAACCTAGTGAGCATGAGGGTACAAATTTCCTTAACCCAAAGGTATTTTGCTTCGGGGAGAAGAGTTACTTAGAATTAGGTTACTAACGGAGTTAAGGAGGAGACATAATGCCAAAGTTAAGCTAATACATTAAAACTATCAGATTTATAATCCTAGAGAAGTATTTGAACAATAAAATAGAGACAGACATCTAGGCAAAAGCTATACGTGTTCCAAAAAAGGTGGGAAAAATATTGCTTATGCATTTAAAAAGAAATTATCACACTGTTCCCTTAAGAGTCATGCTAGCTTCTCACAGGCAGCTGCTTTGCAAGGCATTAACCTCCCTCAGCTGCTTTTTGCACCCTGCAGACCAATCATTACCATTTCTGCACTTTGTCAATGTTGATATTTAAGTCTCTCACTAACCACAAGGCATCATTGTTCTTGATACAAACAATACAGTTGTGGAAAGAGATGCATTCTGAACAAGTGCATGCAGTACTATAAGATACCAGAAGAATTCTACTTTAGGAGTGAGTCTGGTGATCAAGACTGCTAGGACTCAAGACCCACCACCCCCCTCCCCCCAAATTACTGGGAAGCCCTCCCCTCTGAAAGAGAGCTCTGCAACTTCTCAGTACCTCAATTTTTAAGTGACCTCTGAAGTTATATAACAAGATACTTGATATCTTTATCTGCTTTGATCACAAGTTTGCAAACAACTAATAATACATCACTGCTTGAAGGACAGAATCTGTGTTCTGTAGTCAGTTTACTGACAAGAAGTTTGTCTCAGGTCTTACCAAATGTCATTCGGCCACTAATGATTTCTGGAGATTTCTTCATGTCATTAATAGCAGCAACAGGAAGTCCCCAGTTGGCAACTGGCCCCCAAAAGTGCTGCAAAGAGGAAAAAGGAAAATAAAGGAAAGTGAAGTTACACAGAAACACAGACCTCCTGCAGTATTCTTACAGTTTTCCTTAGCCACACAACGCTTCAGAGAACAGGGTTAAGGGTAAAAATCCAAGTTAAGACAGGGACTATTTTTGATGTAAGGGAAAAAACCCAAACCCTTCTTTTAGCAGGATCTAACCTTCAGGAGGGAAGGAAGAACCCCCCACTCTGAATCTTCTTGCAGACCAGAAAGGAACTACTGTAAGGCCATTGAAATGCAGTTTTGTGTAATTATACCTCAGCCATCATTAAGCAGTCTGATTGGTATAGTCATATAGTAACCTCAGATTTACAGCTCACCTCTGTGCAGAGAATTAGCATTCACCTCTTTCAAATAAGGCTCCTCAAAAATGTAATGAAAACACAAGGACTTGAAGTGAAGAACTGGAACTGTTTTCATGTTATGCTGAGAATGAAGAAATGCTCAGCAAGCATCTTCTTCCAAGTACTTACACCATCTCTTTGAAAGAGCAGGGCCATGCAACCAAACCAAGTTGTTAGCTAGAGCTTCACGTGCAATTGCTGAAACAACTTAGTGACTACCTAAAGCTCAGTGATTAGACAGAAACAGGAGTAGAGCAGTTAGCTACAGGTGTGTACACAGATAGAAAAACAGAGCCAAGAGTGGAAAGAATCAAGTCAAAAAAACTGAGAAGAGCTCAATTTGCTGGGTATTGTCTACAAGACTCCCAACTGAGAAAAAAGACTGTCATAAGTCCAATTTCCATTGCTGTTATGAGTAACAAGGCTTCAGTAGAATTCTTTCCACAGAAGATGCATGCAGTACTTGCATCAGCTTCTCCTAAGGGGAAACTAAGGATGCTCTTCGCTAGATATGGCAAGAGAAGCACCTTGCAAGAAAAAGCTTTGCAGATACCAACTATACCCATTCTTTTGTCACTTTCCCCAACTGTAACACTGCAGATATTACAATGATTTAGAATTGTCAGGGGATATTTAAGTTTCTCACAATTTTTATTCCAAGATACTTTTGCCAGTCTGGGTACTGGCTTATAACACTACAATAAGATTAAAAGCCACACTTGTATTGCAACCCAAATCCGTAGGAAGCAAGAAACTTAACTAAAAAACACCTCACTTTTTTCTATACTTTAAGTTGTACACACTGTTTTGATAGTTTAACCATAGTGCAATATGCAAAACAATGTAGTATTTCTGCAAGTGTCTACAGAATGTGCATTGGTCCAAACTCACATTTATAAGAGTATTTTGCAGAGTGCAATAAATGCATTTGTTTACTATATTCCTACTGATAGGGAAATTGACATCTGTAATGGTTAAAGCCTCTCAAGCACATCAGAGATAACATGGCATAACTGAGAAGAGTCACATGGCTACATGGTATTTACACTGTACAGCTATGGTTAGATAGTGTAAAGAAATGTACCTATACCACCACTTACACACAAGGTACATTGCAACAGAACATTCACAGAAACTGAAGTCAACAGCACATAGGATGTTGTTTTAGAGGCTTTAATGTAGCTATTTAAATAGTTCTAAAGGACAATAAGAGGACCAGAAACAAACATTTAGTCACATAACCATGATTATGTGCACAGTAAGACAGAAAGGCAACTTGTGTTAGCATGACCACAGTAAAGCAAAATGCAAAAGGTAACTGGCAAGGCAGTATATGTACTTGGTGAGGTTTTTACATTCATTTCAGGAGTCCCATTTAAACAATTGTAGTTTCAGAAAAATAAGTCTTTAAAGCTCTAGACTTGTTGATTTTTTTTTAATGTATGAAATAATTACAGCTTTGAAAGTCTTAGTGGTGACTTCTGTTTTGAAAGGTAGATCAAGCCAACTTGGCCTTTTTACTTAATTCAGCTGCCATTAGAACATAAACAAATAATACACTGTAGACTATGGACTACTTCAAGCTCAGGCTGCACAAGCTGAAGAATCATCAGTTCACATCCCAGCAGCACTGCAGCAGTAGCTTTCCTCTGCTGACCAGGGAGGTAGATTTGGAACTTCCCATTTGAGATGGTTATCCATTTTTAAGTGCCTCCAGGCAGGCAGCCCTTTTAAGTTTCCACACACAAGAATTAAACTACACCTATACAGTTTGTCTTTGGTCTACGTAGAAGAGCAAGTCTTCCATAACATTGTGATTCACAGTACAACAGGCATAAAATACCCACTCCTAGTGTCAGGAGTAAACAAAGTCTGAAGGAAAGAAAAGTCTGTAGTGAGAGTTATATGGTACCATTTATTGTCTGAAGTAAAGCTAGTTAAAAATAAGGTAGTTCAGTTATGTACCAGTATTGTTGCTATGCAGAAGAATGGCTCCAGATTGATCTGCTCTCCTTAGCAAAGAGTAGCGGGGCAGGGGGTGGGGTGGGGGGTGTGGAAATGAAGCCCCTTTAATATTGTAATGATTACTTTAGGAAACATTCTGAAGGAGCTAATGTTTGGTCACCTTAACCTCAGACTTGTGAATAAATATTACTAGTGCATCACTTATGAGGGTTCACAGTAAGCTTTTCAGATGCAGGCAAGGTCATAACAGTGCTGAGGCAAAAAGACTGCAAGTTACTGAAGTTAGGGAGAAAATGAAACCAGAAGTGCCCTCCTTTTTCTTACCGTACTGTTTGAGTGGGCCATCATTGTTTTCCATTCAAAAAGCACATGGAAGAAAAAAGAAAAAAGTTAGTTTCTTTCATCATCAACATAAAGCAGCATACCACAAACAGAAGATAGGCAGAAGCCAGGATATTGTCATGGTGTTAACCTTGATTAATACAACAGTATTAAAAATCACTTCCCTCAAGAGCTGTCACTGTGACAAGTGTTCACTGCTCAAATACCTTTTTCCTAGCAAGATAAAATCCTGTTAGGGTCTGTGGAAGACATTTATCCCCCATGGACTTCAAAGCATCCAAGATCTCATGCCAACTAGTTTAAAAGGATGCCAAAAGCAGTCAGGGTTTGCCCATGACAAACCTAAACAGCTACAGTTCCTCTGTGGAGGCACTTTGAATTCTTTGTATACCCACATAAGTAGGTCAAGCGAAACACTGCCAGAGATCTTACTGTCACTAAGCTCAGGCCAACTGTGGCTGTATCAAACATGAGCTGTAACACATTTTCAGAGATCTAACATGCAATTACACTCCAGTTATGTATGGGGTTCATTTAAGTGATCATATAGGTACCAACTTATTTATGTAATAACTTAGTGATCTATGCATGAAAGCTAGACTACAGCATGTATTTGTTTGCTACTATACCTTTTAAAATGCTTCAGAACTTCTAAACATTCTAGCAAAGATACTGATAGGACTCAGTTCTGAATTATGACTTATAAGAAACCAGCTACTAATAGCCTACTGCTGACGGATTGTGGCTTACCCACCACTGCCCTGAGCTACAGAACACTAACAGTCACTTTCCTCACACTGATTTCCATCTTAGAGCAGCGTTTTACGAAGAGCTATGGTAAGGGAACAGTCAGGTCTACTTAGGAAATCACACTGGATATACATTTCACTGAGTCTTTGTTACAAGCTGCAGGCTCATTCAAGAGGCTTTGTTAGGGTGTCCTTGACTAGTCTAACCACTTGTTTTTTGTTTTCTTATTAACTGAACTGCAGCAATAATTAATTGAAGTTCACAAGTGCACACTTCAATATTTCCATAAAACCTTAGCTAAACAAGTTCAAATATGTCTCTTGGCACAATGTTTTTGTGCCAACAGAGGTCATCCTTCATTTTTAAAATGGAAGTTGTTTTCAGGCAAGTGAAAGCCTAAAATAGACTCAAACCGCTGCTGTTTTAACAGAGTAGGCAGCTCTGGCTAAGGTCTTGCAAGGTTGTTCTCACATCCACATGAGACTGGAACAATTCTTGTACTCCCAGAAGAGGGCAGATCAAGGTCATATAGACTTTCACCAAAGCAGGCATCCAGCCCCAAAGCTCTGCAGCCAATACAGCTGCAACAAATGCCCCGTATCTAACAGCAAGGATACCGCAGCAAGTGCATCCATCTATTCCTGAAGTGACACCATTCCAAGTCAGTAGCTTCCAAGAACTACATTCAATCCCTTGACAAAGGGAACACTTTGTACTAAAGTTTCCAGAACTGTGGACAACAGTTGTTGGATTTACTCATTCATTAATTTCTGTGTAAGTATCACAAAAGGAACCATCAGCTGATCAATACCTTGTATTTCTACTACAATCCATTCCAAAAAGGCTATATTGGGGAAGATTTATTTTTCCAAAGTTTTCACATGTATTTTCCTCATACTGGCAATGAAGTTATTAATAGGCCAGAGACAATTCTGCAAATGCAGAGGAACTGTCACTACTTGTTTCCCCACACTGCCATCCCCTAAGTGGAAAGAATATCACCATTCTGCAAGAGTTAGATTGTTCAGTTCTCAGAGCATACAAGACAATGACAGCAGACACTCTGTCCTTCAATTTCTAGCACAGACCAGTAGAGGACATTTTTAAGTTCCAATGTCCTCATGTTTAAACATTTACTGATGAGGAGAACTAAAGATCAGCTAATTCTAGTTATACTACTGATACTACCTCTTTTTAAAGTTCATTTCAATTAAAAGAAAGGTCCTAGAGAGCTTACATCAAAGCTCAAGCTTTACAAGGAATGAACTATCTATTTCAAAGCCATCTGCATTAACAGATTCAGTATATGTGCATGACTGCTGAGTCATCAGGAAGAGACATTTCAGAAGTGCCCCAAAAGATGAGCGTCTCCATGTGTTATTTTTCTATTATTACCAGAAGATTTTGTGACTCCTTGGGATTCATTATGTGACTAAAGTAATTCAGGCTTCTACCACAGGCTTTTAGGCTTGTCTAGAGTGGCCTATAGGTTTTCTCTCTCAGGAGAAGAGGAAAGCTGTTTTACTGGATGTTTTTCAGAAGATGCTGTTTTAAATCTTTAG